TCTCATCTTTCATTACACCAGAAACATTCTCTTCCAACAAATCTTTGACAAATTTTTCTGTGCTTTTATTGTCTCTTCCTGTTCTGGAATTCTGATTACACATTAAGTTATTTCTTTTGATGGTATCTCTCATGAACATTAGTCATTCTTGTTTCAATCTTTTTTCTGATTGTTCCCTTTCTAAAGAAGTATTCAGGTATTTGCCTTCATTCTCACTAATTTTGTCTTCCTTTGATTCAATTCTACTCCTTTTCCCATTCAATGAGTTATCTATTTCTGAAAATTTAGTATTAGTCTTCTGGATTTCTGTGGGTAGATTTTGTATCATTTCTAATTTTTCATTTTATTCTTGTATTGTCTTTTGAAATTTTTCTGGGTTTTCTCTGCGTTTTCCTCAATTTTGCAAGTGTTTTCCTTGATCTGTCTCTCAATCTGTTGAAGATACCTAAATATAATTCTTTTGAATTCCTTATCTCAGGGAGTTACAGTGTTGCATCTGCCTCAGGGGTATGTTTTGGGTCTGTATCCTGGTCTCTTGTTTCTCCTGCTTTATCTTGCTTCTTTGTGTGGATTGTGATGCTCTGTTGTCTCTGAGGCATTGTGACGTTTTTGTGTTTATATTTAATTGGTGATTGTATGTTGGAGTGACTTGGCCATGATTTTCTATTTCTTTGTATGTTATCTATGCAAGCAGGGTACTGTGCTGTGCTCCTCTATTCACTAGTTGACAGCACTTATACACTCACCACCTGTCTCCTTTCCCGTTGTCTGCCTCCCATATATCCCTGCCATCCATGACAAATGGAGCCTATTCTTAGGTCCCTGGAATCTGAATGAGAATGCTGTCACTTTAAAATCCAAAAATGACGCCCCCCCCCCCGCTTGAAAACACTGAAAAAAAGCTGTGCCCTGGGTCACTTTAAATATCCAAAATGGCCACCATGTGCAAACAATCAAAATGGCTGCACCCTCCAGACAGCTAAAAGTCCACAGCTCAGGTTGTCTCCCTCCTTGGTGTTTCCCTTCCTAGTCACAGGCCACCAGCGCAGTCATCCCTGCAGCCCTTGGTGATCAGGGTTGCTCTTTAGGGCAATTCTCAGGTCCCAACACCACTCCAAAATATTCAGGGTGTCGGTCCTGTCAGGATAGCTGATAGTCCACTGCTCTGTCTGCATACTCACTGTTTTCATTCAGGTTTTTCCACTAGTTTGTGCCTAATCCATGTATGTATTCTTCCTTTCAAAGCTCAGGGCTCCAGGATTATCTTCTGTATCTCTGTCAATTGGTTTCTCTTTTCTTTGTTGAAGAGGGTCTGTGTAGCTTGTCTGCCTATTCTGCCATTTTACCTGTTTACAATCTTGTAGGCTTACTTAATTTACTCCCATAACTGGGTTGGTTTCTGGTTTATATCATCATGTGTGTTAATGGCTGGTTGTTGTTTGCCGTTTTTGGCTGTGTGTCCAGAGAACTCCTTTTAGCATTTCTTGAAGGTTGGCCAGGTTTTAACAAATTCTCTTAATTTCTGCTTATGTGGAAATGTCCTAATTTCACCATCATATTTGAGAGACAGTTTTGTTGGGTATATAATTCTTGGTTGGAAATTTTTCTTTAAGGGTTTTTATATATACCTTCCCATCATCTTCTTTGGGTGCATAGTTTTTGCCGAGAAATCTGAGTTTAGTTTTATTGGTTGCCCCTTGCCGATAACTTCATTTTTCCCATGCTGCTTTCAGGATTCTTTCTTTGTCTTTGGTTTTGGTGAGTCTGATGATGATAAGTCTTGGTGATTTTCTTTTGGGGTCTATCTTGTTTGGGGTTTGTTGGACTTCTTGAATGGATATATTCTTATCTTTCATCATACCAGGGAAATTCTCTTCCAACAAATCTTGGCCATTTTCTCTGTGGTTTGTCTCTTCCTGTTCTGGAATTCCGATTACATGAAGGTTATTCCTTTTGATGTTATCTGCATTAGGCTGGGTTCTCTAGAGAAGCAAAACCAGTAAAGCTTATATATGCATGTAGAGAAAGAGAATTTAGGAAAATCGCTCACACAGTCATAGAAGTTGGCAAGTCCCAAGTTCTTGGATCAAACACCAAGCTGGAGGCTTTTCCCGACTCACACAGCTGCAGGGGCTTAGGAGCTCAGGGTTGGCAGGCAGTACCGGCTGTTGACTCCCAACGAATTATGAATCCAAGATCTCCGGTCTGAATGGTGGATTGTTTGCTCATGGACAGTTGTAGGCAGCACAACAGGATCCTGATCCACAGAATAGTGTCTCTTTTACCAAGATGTCCATAAATATATTGGAAGCAGACTTCATCCCTAGGGAAACTCGCTTTCAACAGATTGGCTGCTCAAAACATATATATCCAATCCCATTATGGTAATAACCCGCATCACAATTGCCTAAAGCACACAGAATTGTGGTCCAGCCAAGTTAACACACAGCTCCAACTATCACAGTATCGCACATGGAACTTCAGGCTTTCTTCATTTTGTTTTGATCTTTTTTTCTCATTGATCCCTTTCCAAAGAAGTACTGAAGTATTTGTCTTCAATCTCACCAATTCTATCTTCCATTGATTCAATTCTACTCCTTTGCCTATTCAATGTGTTACCCGTTTCTCAAAATTTAGTATTAATCTTCTGGGTTTCTATCTGTAGATTCTGTATCATTTCTAATTTTTCATTCATTTTGTCATTTTGTTCTTGTATTGTCTTCCAGAATTGTTCGAGGGGTTTGTGTTTTCCTCACTTTTTTCAGTGTTTTCCTTGATCTCTTAATCCATTGAAGGTACTTAAATATAATGCTTTTGAATTCCTTATCAGAGAGTTCCAATGCTGCTGCTTCTTCAGGGATGTGTTCTGGGTCTGTATCCTGGTCCCTTTTTTTCCCTGCTTTATCTAGCTTCTTTGTATGGACTGTAATGCTATTGTCTCCTAGACATTGTGATGTTTTTGTGTTTATATTTAACTGGTGATTGTATGTTGGAATGACTTGCTGAAGATTTTCGTTTTGTTTTGTTTGGATGTTATCTAAGCAAGCAGGGTACTGTGCTCTTCTGTTTGCTAGCTGACAGCACTTAAACACTCAACACCTGTCTCCTTTACCATTGTCACCCTCCCGTATGTCCCTGCTGTCCTTGGCAAATGGAGCCTATTCTTGTTATGTACCGTCAAGTCGGATCTGACTCATAGCAACCCCTCCCTGGGTTTCCAAGTCAGTATCACTACAGTAGATTGCTCAACCTTTCTTCCAAGGAGTGGGTGGTGGGTTTGAACCACTAGCCTTCTGGTTAGCATTAAAGTGCCTAAGGCAGTATACTACCAGAGCTCCTGAGCCTATTCATGTTATTGTTGTTATGTGTCATCAAGTCGGCCCCAACTCATAATGACCCCTCCTTGGGTTTCCAAGGCAGTATCACTACGGAAGTAGATTGCCCCATCTTCCTTCTGAGGAGTGGCTGGTGGGTTTGAACCACCAGCCTCCTGATTAGCAGTCAAGTGCCTTAGGCACTATGCTATCAGAGCTCCCAAGCCTATTCTTAGGTCCCTGGAATCCAAATGAGAATGCTGTCACTTTAAAATCCAGTATGGCAGCCACTTGTAAACATTCAAAATGGCTGTACCCTCGGTCACTTTAAATATCCAAAATGGCCACCACTTGTATGGCTGCACCCTCTGAACAGTTGAAAGTCCACAGCTCAGGTTGTCTCCCTCCTTGCTGTTTCCCTTCCTAGTCATAGGCCACCAGCCCAGTCATCCCTACAGCCCTTGGTGATCAGGGCTGATCTTTAGGTCAATTCTCAGGTCACAACACCACTTCAAATTATTCAGGCTGTTTGTGCCATCAGCATAGCTAACAGTCTGCAGCTCTGTCCCTCTCTGTATTCACTGTTTTCATTCAGGTTTTTCCACTAGTTGGTGCCTAATCTACTTCTGTATAGTAGTTCCTTTCAAAGCTCAGGGCTCCAGGATTATCTTCTGTATCTCTGTTAATTGGTTTCTCTTTTCTTTGTTGAAGAGGGCCTGTGGAGCTTGTCTGCCTATTCCTCCATCTTACCAGAAGTCTAGCAATGTGCTCCTTTAAAGAACTATCTATACGAGATATCAAATTGACTGGAAAGGTTAGATAGGAAGCTTAGGGAACAATGAGTTTATGTTAACAGGGAACAATTAGGAAAATAAGGTGAGAATGGTTGCATACCTCAAAGAATGTAATCAATAACACTGAACTGTACATGCAGAAATTGTTGATTACTGTATGCTTTACTGTGTATATTTTCAACAATGAAAATTTACAAAAAAAGAAAAAGTTTTCAAGAAAAAGTTGCATTATGAGATGAACAGTATCCATTTATGAAAAATTTTGAGACCCCCAAACAATGCTGTTTGTTGTTCGTGAGAGTTCACCTTTCGGGAAGATGAAAAGAGAGAAACGTTTCCTTTTTTCTTTTTAATATATATTAACATCTATTAACTCTGAGTAATACATAATTTGCTGTTTTACTAAATATTTTTTTATACTTTTAAATAAACCTGTTTCTATAAATTTGTGATGCTGTATGAAGCAGTTCTTTAAAATAACTTTTATTAGTGTTTCCCTAGTGCATTTTCAATTCTAAATTTCAGAGGATTGAACTTATTTCACTTGTACACTCTAATCAGAAAACCAGAATTAAATTTATTTTAAAATACATTTAATAAAAATAACCCAGTGTCATATATTTTACATGTATAGAATATTTACAAATTCAGTTCTATAACATTTACTTAATGTCTACTATTTTCCATTATATTCCTTTTTTACTATTTCCTTCAGCAGTGAAATACTGTCCAGTGTTCTCCATAATTAAAAAATCAGTTTCTTGGGTAATCCTCCTAGAAAGTAAAAAAACAAGAGTTTTTCACATTTAAGCTTATAGCAATTTTAACCCAGTCACCCTGTTGCTGCATTCCAACTACATTTATTCTACCTGTTACTTTTCCAATAGCACTTGTTAACCATTAAGCATACAGTGTACCAGTAGGAATTTACGAAGGGAACAGGGTAAACATCAATAGTTTTCGTGACTGTAAGGTATATTCAAAAGTACCTATGTCCTTTTAAAGATATAATAAAGTATTCTCATTGGGAGCAAATACAGTTAAAACAGTATGTTCTATCTATTTTATGTAAGTTAAATATATATAGAATGAATAACTCATCATCTAATTTTCTTAGTTGCCCTTCACTTATAAGTTAAATGTTAGCTATCTTGAGTTCCTGAATTAATTTTATTTCTTAAAATGCAGGAGTCTTACCTTGTTCCAAAGCCTCTGTTCTCTTCCGTTTTGTTGCCATAGCTGGGTTTGGTTGCTCTTTTAAGGTTTCCACTGGACAGTTTGGTCTTGGCAGCTGACATCCAGGTGTAGGCCCTGGTCGATTACTAAAATACTTAGTTTTCAATGCCTTTTAAAACAAGAGATACCAAATAAGGTAAAGTTTTAAATTAGTACTTGAGATGTGAATGTTGTTATGTGCCGTCAAGTTGGACCCGACTCATAGCAACCCCTCCTTGGTTTTCTGAGGCAATATCACTACGGAAGTAGACTGGCCCATCTTCCTTTTGAGGAGTGGCTGGTAGGTTTGAACCTCCAGCTTTCTGGTTAGCAGTCGAGTGCCTTAGGCACTATGCTACCAGAGCTCCCTAAGTGGATGATATTTTACCATTAGAATTATTCTTCTGGTTTCAAACAAGTAACTTGTTACTGCCTTTTCACTTGTACTTACATACATAGCATTTCCATCATTGGAAACTTAAGACTGATCATATTATCTAGACAGTTGTTCCTATTAATAACTTAAAACATAGAAAGGACTAGATGTTGTATTAACAGTAGCGCATTTGGGCTGTATTTTGGTAGATGGAATTTTTAAAAATGGGTTTAGCTCATAGATGTCTGTCTTAAAGTTGGAATGAGATACTCTTCATTTTTCAGATCTCTTTGTAGCCCAGAATTAGCTGTGAGTTGGATCTGACTTGATGGCAGTGAGTTTGGTTTTTTGGTTTGGTATGTACTTATGTAGAACGTGCTACTACAAAAAGGCTTTATCAACCCAAATGAGTAGATGCATTAAATGATGACTTGGCAGTATGTAACAAATCTAAGGGGAAAAAAATCCACTTTATATCCTCGATATATTGTGCATTAATGTTTTGTTAGATATGAAGATTCATGGCATTTCATTTTAATGTGTATCTCCCTTCACGAGGTCAAATCATTATACTGTTACATCTTTGTATTGACCTGCTCTGATTCTAAATATTTGTGATGACCCTGTTTTGTTTGTTTGTGTGTTTTTATAAGACAAAGAAAATGCTTTTTCAAAGATGTAGATCTTATATTTTTTGTGTTCTCCCTCTTTTATAAGAGCAGATATTCTTCATAATATTTAGAGTTTGATTATTTCCTTAAATACTATTTCAGATTTTTTTTCTATTTAGAATATCTCCTGCTAAGGATGAAGGAAAAATTTGGAAATGGGTAGTGGTAATGGTTGCACATAATGAAAGTAACTAATGTCACTAAATGTACATGTAAAAAATGTTGAAACATCAAAAGTCTATATATATATTTACCACAGTTAAAAAAGAAAACAAACAAACATAATCTTTCAGTATCTTATAAGCACATACCTGTATCTGACTATACCATTTCCTTCTCATTATCATTTTTGGATTGAGATAATGACCAGCATGCACATCTGGATTTCATTGGTGGGGGGGACTTTCATTAGGTTTGCCACATAATTTAAATTAATACATAAGAGTTCAGTTGAAATATAGTAGTGTTTTAAATAATTAAAAGCTTTGGATTTTTCCCCTAAGGTATACTATTTAAAAAGCCCATTAATTATGATATAGATATTTATTTATATATTTACAAGTAGGTGTTGGGCACTAGGGGTGCAGTGTTGTGCACTAGGGGTGGCTGCTAACTGAAAGGTCAGCAATTAGAACTTATGTGGCAGTCTAATTCGATACAGATTTACAGCCTTAGAAACCCTAATAGGCAGCTCTACTTGATCCTGTATGGTCCCCATGAGTAAGGAACAATGAGTAGCAATCGGTTTTTCGTAAGCAAGCGTACACTTTACTGTAGTTGTGTGTGTATGATGTAATTTAATTCCAATCTCAACAGCTTGTAGCTTAGAGGAAAAAAATGGGTTGTTATTTCTTAAAACAAAAATATATCTTTTAAGTATTTACACTCCTTAGAGAGAACAATCATAGGACAACAGAAAAGCTGTGTATGCACAGGGAGACAGCTTAGGGGGCAGGAGTGCATGGAGGAAAGGACACAGGGAAGAGGCAGCTATGGGAAGGAAGTGGGAGGGGAGCTATTGCACTGGGGTAAATTGTAATCAATGTCACGAGACAAAGTGTATATGAGCTACTGTGTGGAAAGTGAATTTGCTCTGTAAACTTTCACCCAAATCACAAAAAAAAAAAAAAAAGTGTATCTCAAGTATTTAAAGAATGTTAGAAAACTTTGTTGTTGTTGTTGTTGCTGTGTGCTGTCGAGTCAGACCCGACTCATAGCAACCCCTCCTTGGGTTTCCAAGGCGGTATCACTATGGAAGTAGACTGCCCAACCTTCCTTCCGAGGAGTGGCTGGTGGGTTTGAACCGCCAGCCTTCTGGTTGCAGTCAGGTGCCTTAGGAACTATGCTACCAGAGCTCCTTAGAAAACTTTATGCAACTTTTATTTTATCAATGCACTAATTAAGATTTTCCTCATATTTTCTAGTATAATAAACATATACTAAAATACCTGTGTGGCTGTAATTCGAGTACATGGATTAAATAAGAATAAGCCTTGTATGAGGTCTAGCAAGTCGTCTCCTGCTGCAATGAAGATATGTTGTAATGGAATTCCAGGAAAGCTCTTAAACGTCACATAATCTGGAAGACTACACATGTCCTGTAAAATATTTTTATAATTCAAACTTAAATATTAAAAATGCCATTTCTATAATACTAAAGACATCAGTGGTAAAAACAAAGGGAAAAAAGCTGTGCATAAAAAACCTTTAAAAACACATTTGCATACAATTCTTCACTGGAAGATATAAATATATCTGTTTTTAAACTTATTATTATGTATTAATTTCAACAGGAAATACTAATACATGGTATTTTAATAATACATAATTCAAAAGATACCAATATGAGCATACTGTGAAACTCTCCACCCTTCTGTCCCCCAGGCAGCCCAGAGTCTCTCTCTAGAGGTGATGTTTCCAGTTTTTTATGTATGATTCAAGAGACTTCTTTGCATATACAATTATATGCATATATTTTTTAATACAAGTTACAATATACAGTACACACATATTTTTACTTAACACTGTATTTTAGAGATTAGCCCATATTAGCACAAAAAGAGCTTATTCATTCTTTTTTACAGTTGCATGGTATTCCATACAGGGATGCAAGGATAATTTAGTATTCAAACATCAAAGTAATTGCCCATATTAATAGGCTAAATAAGAAAAATCACATGAGCACACCAAGTGATGCAGAAAAAGCATTTGAGAAAATTCAATGCCCATTCACAATAAAAACCCCAAAACTAAAAACTCACTGCTGTCGAGCCAGATCCAACTCATAGTGACCCTTCCTTGGGTTTCCAAGGCAGTACCACTACAGAAGAAGATTGCTCATCTTTCCTTCCGAGGAGTGGCTGGTGGGTTTGAACCGCCAGCCTTCTGGTTAGCAGTCAAATGCTTTAGGCACTATAAAAACCTCAGAAAACTAAAAACAGAAGAAGAGAACTTCCTCAACTTGTAGAAAACATATACAAAAAACTCAACAGCTAACATTACATTTATGGATGAAAGGCTGAATGCTTTCTTCCTAAAACAAAGAGTAAGACAAGGGTGCTTGCTCTCACCACTCTTATTCAACGGTGTTAGAAGCTCTAGCTGATACAGTAAGGCAAAAAAAGGAAATAAAAAGCACATAGATTATAAATGAAGAAATAAAACTGTCCCTATTTGCAGATAACATGATAGTCTATGTAGAATATCCCAAGAAATCTATTTAAAAACTCCTAGAACTAGTGAATCGAGCAAGGTTGCAGGAATTAAGTATACAAAAAATCAATTGTTTTTCTATATAGTAATAGTAAAATAAAAGAGCGAACAGAAGATCTAAAAGGGCAGCTCAAGAAGACAAAGTATTATAATGAAATGTGCAAAGACATGGAATTAGAAAACCAAAAGGGAAGAACGGGCTCTGCATTTCTCAAGCTAAAAGAACTGAAGAAAAAAATTAAGCCCTCAAGTTGCAATACTGAAAGATTCTATGGGCAAAATACTGAACAGTGCAGAAAGCATCAAAATAAGATGGAAGAGACAAGAGTCACTGTACCAAAAAGAACTGGTTGATGTTCAACCAATTGATAACATTGTTAATTGTGTGCATGAACAACTTGTCCACAGAGACCAAGAGGCAGTCAATTGAACAGAACAAGAGGACACTACATGGTTTAAGATCAGGAAACCTGTGCATCAGAATTGTATCCTTTCACCATACTTATTCAATCTGTATGCTGCGCAAATAAAATGAGAAACTGCACTATATGAAGAAGAATGAAGCATCAAGATTGCAGGAAGACTCATTAACAACCTCCAAAATGCAGATGACATGAACTTGTTTATTAAAAAGTTTAGATGACTTAAAGCACTTACTGATGAAGATCAAAGTCTATAGCCCTCAGTATGTATTCACATAAAGAAAATAAAAATCCTCACAACTGGATTAATACATCATGATAAATGGAGAAAAGACTGAAGTTGTCAGGAATTTCATTTTACTTGGATCCTCAATCAACACCCATGGAAGAAGCAATCAAGAGATCAGATGTCATACTGCACAGGGGAAGTTTGTTGCAAAAGACCTCTTTAAAGTGTTAAAGAGCAAAAATGTCATGTCGAAGACTAGGGTGCACCTAATCCAAGCCATGGTATTTTCAATAGTATCATATGCATGTGAAAACTGGACAATAAATAAGGAAGACCAAAGAAGAATTATGCGTTTGAATTGTGGTACTGGAGAATACTGAAAACACCATGGACTGCCAGAAGAATGAACAAATCTATCCTGAAAGAACTATAGCTGGAAGGTTCCTTAGAAGCAAAAATGGCTAGACTTTGTCTCATTTACCTTGGTCATGTCGTCAGAAGAGACCAGTCCCTAGAAAAGGACATCAGGCTTGGTAAAGTAGATGGTCAGCACAAAAGGGGAAGACCCTCAACAAAGTGGCTGCAATGATGGGATCAAGCATAGCAAAGGTTGTGAGGATGGGGCAGGACAGAGCAATGTTTCATTCTGTGTACACAGGGTCACAATGAGTCAGAACTGACTTGATGACACCTAACAACAAAGACAATAATAGAATGAATAGATGGACATCAAACTTAAAAATACAATACCACTTACAATCATTCAAAAAAAAATGAAATAGGTGAAAATCCAACGGAAGACTTGTATATGGAAAGCTACACAGTGATGATGAAAGAAATCAAAGACCTAAATAAATGGTGAGATATGCCATGTTCATGAATTAAAGATTCAGCATAGTAAATATGTTGATTCCAACTGATATAGGTTTACATAATTCCTATCAAAATCCTTGCAAGATTTTTTTTTTTTTTAGGTACAGATTATATGGAAAGACAAAGGAGTAAGAACAGCTAAAACAATTTTGAAAAAGAACAGTAAGGTGATAGGAATCACTCTACTTGATTTTAAGACATCAGACTTACTTTAAAGACTGTAGTACTAGCAGAAAGACAAACACATGCATTGATGAAATAGAACACAGAACGCAGCACAGACATATACAAATACATGCAAATTATTTTTGACAGGTACAAAAGCAATTCAGTGAAGAGCTTTTTCAACAAATGGTGCTGGAGCAATCGGACAAGCTGTCATTACTAGGTGCTGTCAAATTGGCTGTGATTCACAGCAACCCCATGTATAACAGAATGAAACAGTACCTGGTCCTGCGATATCCTCACAATCATCACCATACTTGAGCTCATCTTTCCAGCCACTGAGTCAATCCATCTTGTGGAGTGTCTTTTTCAATAACCATCTACTTTATCAAGCATGATATCTTTATCTAGGGAATGGTCCCTTCTGACAACATAACCAAAGTACGTGAGACAAAGTCTGGTCATTCTCGTTTCTAAGGAGCATTCCAGCTGAACTTCTTCCATGACAGATTTGTTCATTCTTTTAGCAGTCCATGGTACACGCAGTATCTTTGCCAACACCACAACCCAAATGCATCAGTTCTTCTGTTGTCTTCTTTATTCACTGTCCAGCTCACAAACTCACATGAGGCTACTGAAAATATCATGGCTTGGGTTAGGTGAACAATAGTCTTCAAAGTGACATCTTGGTTCTTTAACACTTTAAAGGTCTTTTGCAGGAGATATACTCAATGCAATACATTCTTTGATTTCCTGACTGCTGCTTCCATGGATGTTGATTGTGGATCCAAGTAAAATTAAATCCCTGACAACTTCCATCTTTTCTGCATTTATACTAATGTTGCTGATTGGTCTAGTTGCGAAGACTTTTGTTTTCTTTATTTTGAAGTGTAATCCATACTGAAGACTGTAGTCTTTGATCTTCACCAGTAAGTGCTTCAAGTCATCTTCACTTTCAGCAAGGTTGTGTTATTCTGCATATCACAAGTTGTTAATGAGTTTTCCTCCAACTCCAATGGTGCATTCTTCATATAGTCCACCTTCTCATTTTATTTGCTCAGCATACAGACTGAGTAAGTATGGTAAAAGGATACAATGCTGACACATACCTTTCCTGATTCTGAACCATGAAGTATCCCCTTGTCCCATTTGAACAACTGTGTCTTGATCTATGTACAGGTTTCTCATGAGCATAGTTTTCTGGAATTCCCATGTTTTGCAATGATATACTTCTGTGGTAGTTACGGTTGTCAATTTGGCTGGGCCTAATTGAGTGGCTGGGTAGCTGGAGGGACTGGCAATCAACTCCATGATGAAATCTGCCACAAGCAGCTGAGTAGTTGCTTTAGGGATATGGTCTGCTTCTCGTATAAAAGAAGCTTTGGGATTAGTCTATAGCCTTTTGGCATGCTTGAACTCTGCATGTAGCCAAATCATTATTCAGTAGCCTGCCATGCCCTGACCATTCTGTGACTTCATCTGGACTTGAATTAGTAGCCTGCCATATTGTTTGGTAACATTGGGACTGTGCCTTCTTACTTGTCAACCTTGAGCTTGTCAGCCTCAGCAGCCAGCAGCTGTCTGAGTGAAGAAAAACTTCCAGCTTCAGTGGGCCAGAAAGAGGAGGCAGAGGTGAAGTCCAAGGTAGAGGAGTTTTCACCCAGCCCCTAGAGCCTAGCACTTTGAACAGACTTAAAGTCTCCAAAACTGTAAGAGAATAAACTCCTGTTTATTAAAGCCATTCCATTTGTGGTATATTCCTGCAAAGCAGCACTAGGTAACCAAAACACCCTCACTCCATATCCTCTTCTGAATCCGACTTGAATTTCTGGCAGTTCCCTTTCTATATACTGGCATAATGACGTCTGAATTGTTTTCAGCAAAATTTTACTTGCCAACTGTAAGTGATCCATATTTGTGCCCATTACAAAGATGATCCAACAGATCACAGAAATTATCAATCAATATCATTAATAGAATTAACAGAATACCAGAAAGATGTTTACTTGTGTTTTATTGACTATGCAAGAGCATTTGACTGTGTGGATCATAAAAAATTATGGATAACATTGAGAAGAATGGGAATTCCAGAATACTTAGTCATGCTCATGAGGAAGCTGCACATAGACTATCGCTCAAATGGAACAAGGGGATGCGGCATGGTTTAAAATCAGGAAGGGAGTGCATCAGGGTTGTGTCCTTTCACCATACTTATTCAATCTGTATTTTTAAAAAAACCAAACTCACTGCTGTCGAGTTGGATTTGTCTCCTACTGACCCCTCCTTGGGTTTCCGAGGTGGTATCACTATGGAAGTAGATTGCCCAACCTTCCTCCAAAGAGCAGCTGGTGGGTTTGAACTGCCCGCCTTCTGGTTAGCAGTCAAATATCTTAGGCACTATGCCACCAGAATTTCTGAACAAATAATCTGAAAAGCTGGACTATATGAAGAATGCAGCATCAGGCCAGTTCGTTAACAACCTGAGATATGCAAAGGACACAATCTTGCTTGCTGAAAGTGAAGAGTACTAGAAGCACTTACTGATGAAAATTAAAGACTACAGTCTGCAGCATAGATCACACCTCAACATAAAGAAAACAAAAATCCTCACAACTGGGTCAATAAGCAGCATTATGATAAATGGAGAAAAGACCGACGTTGTCAAAGGTTTAATATTACGTGGATCCACAATCAATACCCATGGAAGCAGCAGCCAAGAAATCAGACAATGTACTGCACTTGGAAAATCTGCTTCAAAAGACCTCTTCAAAGTGCTGAAGAGCAAAGATGTCCCTTTGAAGACTAAAGTGTGCCTAACCCAAGCCATGGTATTTTCAATTGCCTTATATGCATGTGAAAGTTGCACAATGAAAAAGGAAGACCGAAGAAGAGTTGATGCTTTTGAGTTGTGGTGTTGGTGAAGAATACTGAAAGTGCCAGAAGAATGAACAAATCTGTCCTGGAAGAAGTGCAGGTGGAATGCTCCTCGGAAGCAAGAATGGCCAGACTGCATCTTACCCACTCCGGTTATGTTATCAGAAAGGACCACTCCCTAGAGAAGGATATCATGTTTGATAAAAAGTGGAGGGCTGGTAAAAAAAAGGGGAAGACTCTCAGCGAGATGGACTGACACAGTGGCTGCAAATATGGGCTGAGGCATAGCAAGGATTATGAGGATGGTGCATAACCAGGTAGCGTTTCGTTCTGTTGTACACAAGGTCACGGAGTTGGAGTCAACGCGATGGCACCTAACAACAACAACTACAACAACATCATTAATAGCACATGCAACTAAAATTTTGCTAAAAAATAATTTAAAAATGGTTGTAGCAATGATCATGTATTACTGGTAAATTAAGACAACTAATAAATCTCTTTAAGTAATATTCAACTGATAACACTAATAAAGTATATGACAAATAACTTCACAGGATCCTAACTGAATCTTAAAAGAAACTGCGGGAAGACTTACAGGCCACTGTTCCTCTGTTGGTGTGCCCAAAGTTTCAAATATTTTTGTTAGTTGATCAAGGTCTGAATCTCCTGGCAAAAAAGGAACCTGAAAAAAAGCAGTAGGCACTTATTTCAAGGTGGGTATGTGATAGTTTCCATACAAATAATAGTATAAATTTAATAAGGAAAACTAAAATTCAACAGCAAATTTTAAAAATTTAACCTGAGGAGTAAATAGATGTAACATAAGCTCCTCCCATTGCTAAAGAGGTGAACAGCACTTAAACTGCACATTTTATTCACTCCAAAAACTTCTTTATTGTGAGGAAAATATACACAACTAGTTGCCAATTCAAAAACTTCTTACATGCAAAATGCAGTGACATGGATGAAATTCATCAAGTTGTACAACCATTATCACTATCTTTTTTCACATTATTCTACAATCATTAACATAAAGTCAATGGAAAACTCCTTGTTTCTCTCTCTCTCCCAACCCTCGTGCTACTGTAAACAGTGTTTCCTTAATTTCCTTACTCCAAGAAGCTGGCCTATATGAAGAAGAAAGTGGCATCAGGATTGGAGGAAGAGTCATTAACAACCTGCAATCCGCTGACAACACAACTTTGCTTGCTGAAAGTGAGTATGACTTGAAGCACTTACTGAGGAAGATTGAAGACCGCAATGTGCAGTATGGATTACATCTCAATGTAAAGAAAACAAAAATCCTCACAACTGGATCAATAAGCAGCATCACGATACATGGAGAAACAATAGAAGTTGTCAAAGACTTCATGTTACTTGATTCTATAATTAATACTTCAATGGAAGTAGCAGTCAAGATGTATCAGACTATGTATAGCATTGGGCAAATCTGCTGCAAAAGACCTCTTGCAAGTGCTGAGGAGCAAAAATATTTCCTTGAGGATTAAGGTGCACTTGACACAAACCATGGTATTTTCAATCGCCTCTTATGGATGTGAAAGCTGGACAATGAATAAGGAAGACTGAAGAATTGATGCTTTGAGTTGTGGTATTGGTGAAGAATGCTGAGAGTACCATGGACTGTTAAATGAACTAACAAATATGTCCTGGAGGAAGTACAGCCTGAATGCTCCTTGGAAGTAAGAATGGCCAGACTTCGTCTCACCTACTTTGGTCATGTTGTCAGAAGGGACCATTCCCTGGAGAAGGATATCATGCTTGGTAAGGTGGAGGGTCATTGAAAAAGGGGAAGATTCTCAACAAGATGGATTGACACAGTGGCTATAATGATGGGCTCAGGTATAGCAAGGATTGTGGGGCTGGCACAGGACAAGACAATGTTTCATTCAGCTGTATACAGGCTATGAGTCAGAGACAACTCGATGGCATGTAACAACAACAATTTCCTTTGCCACTTGCTCAATGTCGACATACAGAAACTCAACTGATTTTGTGTGTGTGTGTGTTGGCTACCCTGCTACCATCCTGAAATCATTTATTAGTTCTAATAGTTTTCTTGTGGATTCTTTGGGGCTTTCTATGTATAGGATCACGTTACCTGCAAAAAGGGATAGTTTTACTTCTTCCTTCCTGATTTGGATATCTTTTTTTTTTCTTTCTTTCTTAAGGCCTAGCTATTCTGGCTATGACTTCTACAATGATGCTGACGAGCAATAGTGGGCATCTCTGTCTTGTTCCTGATCTTAATGAGATAGCGCTCAGTCTTTCTCCAATGAGTATGATGTTAGCTGTGGTTTTCTTTATAAACGCTTTTTATCATGATGAAGAATTTCCCACTATTCCTATCTCGTTGGTTGTTCTTACAGTGGTGAATTCTGTCAAATACCTTTTCTGCATCGACTGAAATGATCATGTAGCTCTTCTCCTTTGTTCTAGTTCATTCATTTTTTTATTTTTGATTATATGAATATGCCACAATGTGTTTTCATATGCTACTGTTTACAGATATTTAGGTTGTTTCCAGTTTGGTGTTATCATGAACAACAACAACAAAAAAGATGCAACTATCTGCTATTTTTGAAAATATTTCTTTGTTGCCTTAAGAATCGATGCAACATTGACTTAAAAGCTCCCTGTCATGTCATGTCTTAGTAGGCACTGGATCAAGTGTGTTACTCAAGACAGAGTATGTTTCTTCCCCTAGGATTGAATAATTATTTCCAATTTTCATTCAGGAATTTGAATGGCTGAGTTAAACTATATATATAGTATCTGTAAGACCAAATAGCAGCTCTTCTACAATCCCATTCTTAATCAGCTAATAGGCTTACTAAACTCCATTTTAGTCAAATATGGAATATGGGCTAGTGGACCATTCAGATTGCATATACACTATTCAAGTTAACATACACGTATTGTTGCAAACAAAAATTATATAAAAGGGATGTTGTTGTTGTTGTTAGGTGCTGTCGTGTCATCTCCAACTCATAGTGACCCCATGCATAGCAGAATGAAACACCACCCGGTCCTGTGCCAGCTCTGCAATCCTTGCTATACTTGAGGCCATCGCCACAGCCACTGTATCAATCCATCTCATTAAGGGCCTTCCCTTCTTTTGTCAACCCTCCACCTTACCAAGCATGATCTCCTTCTCCAGGGAATGGTCCCTTCGAATAAAATGACCAAAGTAGGTGAGACGAAGTCTGGCCATTCTCGCTTCCAAGGAACACTCTGTCTGTGGTTCCTCCAGGACAGATGTTAGTTCTTTCAGCACTCCATGGTACTTTCAGCCTTCTTCACCAGGACCACAACTCAAAAAGCATCAATTCTTCTTCGGTCTTCATTATTCATTGTCCAGCTTTCACATGCATATGAGGCGACTGAAAATATTATGGCTTGTGTCAGGCGCACCTTAGTCCTCAAGGAGACATCTTTGCTCCTCAGCACGTGAAAGTGGTCCTTTGCAGCCGACTTGTCCAGTGCTATACGTCATCTGCTGTCCTGACCTCTGCTTCCATTAGCGTCATATGTAGATCCAAGCAATGTGAAGTATTTGGCAACTTCAATGTTTTCTCCATTTGTTGTAATGCTGCTTATAGGTCCAGTTGTGAGCATTTTTGTTTTCTTTATATTGAGATGTAATCCATACTGCAGACTGTATTCTTCAACCTTCATCAGTAAGTACTTCAA